CAATAAATTACAGGATGATGAGGCTGAAGCTCGCTATGGTAAGCTTCAGAAAGACCTGTTTATTTTGTATTTCGTTTACAGCCCTGGTTGGTTGTCCCCGATTTCACACATCATGCCCACTCTGCCTCGTTGTCAGCCGTAGCAGTGAATAACAGATACGTGGTCACTGGGAGCAGGGATGAGACAATCCAAATCTATGACATGAAAAAGAAGATAGAACATGGGGCACTGCTGCAGCACAATGGTAAGGGATTCATGCTAGAAACATACCTGAAAAACTGGCCCTTGCCAGAAGAAAATTGATTTTTTTTTTTAATAACTCTTTAACAGTGATGGTGTTGCAGCCATCATGATCTGGTGATACAAGCAAGGTAAGTTTGTGAGCATAAAAATCCAGGTATCATTTTGGGTGTTAGCCCACAAATATGGCAGCTACTTTCAATTATTTTTAGTTTCACCTGTTTAAGAAGTTATGACCCACAAATGGTTCATGAGCCATTTTTGTTTTACCAGGACAGTTTATCTAGACTATGACTATTCCCAACAACCATCTTGCTCAGTGTCCTTGGCCTGTCACAGGTGTACGTGTGCCACACAGAAGAGAAGGTTTGTGCGAGCAGTCTGCTGCTGCTGGAAGAGTTAACATACATTTTCCACTTTATGTACCTCCTGAATTGCAGCTGTGTAATACAGCAGTTAATGGCTGTCCAAAGAGATTCATTTGGGTCATTTGTAACTCAATTCTGATTGTCCTTTTTTTCTCCAGATAACCAAGAAATAGCTGGAGTTAGGCTGAACATGGTACCTGTGCTCAACTCACATACGATAAATCTGGTGCTTATGGGAATCAACTTGCAGTAAATTCCGTTGTGTCTCACGAGCAGGGCTTTAACATAGGAGCACTCCTTATCACTGGTAGAAGCTCTGTGTCCCCTGCGCCATGGTGATCGACTACTGCTGTTTCAGGGAACAGACCAGATGGAGTTCAGATGCGTGTGGCTATAGAGGGGCTGATAGAGCACATCAGTGATTAAATGTAACAAAGTTTTGAGGTTTTGTGAAAAAATACTTGGGAAATAATTGAGATTTTCCCAAGGGTAAGGGTAGTAGCTGGCATGTTTCGATGCTAGAAGCTTCTCTGTTAATTCATATGTTACCTGTGTGATAACTGTTCAGTATGTTAGTAGCTCTGCTTTGTATTTCCAGGCACAATAACTTGTCTGGAGTTTTATGGTACTGCACATCTACTGAGTGGGGCTGAAGATGGACTAATTTGTATCTGGAACACAAAGAGATGGGAATGCCTGAAATCCATTAAGGCACATAAGTGAGTTTCTTAAATCTGCATATTTGTGTATGTTTTCATGTTTATTTTCCTTGCAGATAATTTATGTGACTAATACATTCTTTTGTTTTTAACAGGGGGCATGTGACATCTCTTTCTATTCATCCTTCTGGGAAATTAGCTTTGTCAGTAGGAACGGATAAAACCTTAAGGTAAGTCGAAACTGATGAAAGAATGCTGAGAATGATTAATCAATAATTCTTTGTAAATAGTTACAAGGATAATTCCGGGTTGGGAATAAACTGTGCAACACTGATAAAACGTACTTGGACGTGAAGTAGTTCAAAGATCCACTGGTTTGCCTTTTTAAGTTCTAGTTACCAGCAATATTTTAAACTCTCTTAAAAATAGCCCTTGCTGTTCCTAGCTTCTTGGTGTGCCCTGACTCTTTATAGTCACTTGTAGATGTATACATACATTTTCATTTTGGAACACAACTCGTTTAACCTTCTGAAAGCTGTCAGGTTTTGTTTAGTATGAGAAAAATAGTTTTTCACTTTGAGTGTGTACATGTTGCTGTAGATACGTGTTCTAAAGAAATAAAATGCTGTTTCAACAGCACAAATTGGTATTGGGCTCCCTTTGGGCTCCGCATTGCCAATGCTGGTTTATAAAATAAATATCACAAATTCAACCTTATAGTGTGCAAGCAATATATGAAGTCATCATTTTCTCTTGCATTAAGAAGGCAGCAAAATGCACAGAGATGCTTAAAAGCTTCCTTTGGATGTCTCATGTCAGCAGATAGAACTTCAGTTTCACTGCGCCGTTTTTAACCAGAATGCACATTATCTGTTGTCTTTCAGAACTTGGAATCTTGTAGAAGGACGATCAGCATTTATCAAAAACTTGAAGCAAAGTGAGTTTATTAGTCTAAATCCACTAAAAAAATGGAATTAGATTATTTTTTGTGTAAATGAAAATAGACTGAATTAATCAACAAGTAGTTGATGGCAAGCAACCCCAAGTGTCTTTTTTACACATGCAGGCAAACATATTTAAGCTTCTTTCCTTAATAATAATCATTTACCAAAAGGAAGACTAGTGATACTAAAGTAAATGGTTTTTTTCCTTGAAATTTTATGTCAGGACATTTAAATAAATGTGTGGTGCTTTGTTTTGGTTTTCTTTATATGCTTCTGAGAATCAGAAATAAACATCTAAGTGCATAGTTTTACTTGCTTATTCTAGGTTACTTGATTTTTTTTCCTGAATTTTTCTGAGGTTTAGATAGAAAACAGTGTCTGGCAGCTTCTAAGGATTATTACTTATAGATTTTCATGCATTATAGAGTGAAAAAAAAACCCAAAACTGTGTACATGTGCATACAAATGTATCAATGTGTACAGATGCCCACATAATTAAATGGTCTCCTGATGGAGAGAGGTATGTCACCGTGATAACCAATAAAGTGGATATCTACAAACTCGACACAGCTTCAATCACTGGCACTATCACAACAGACAAGAGAATTTCTTCACTTAGATTTATTACAGTAAGTACAAAAAAGGAAGGTGATGGGAAATTACCTGGTTTGAAACACATGAAATTAATCTCATTTGCATTTCTTTTTTCCCATTCCAAGGATTCTATCCTTGCCATAGCTGGAGATGATGAAATTATAAGGTTCTACAGCTGTGACTCTCAAAAATGCCTCTGTGAATTTAAAGCTCATGAAAACAGGTATTCTATATTTATTTACTGTTTAAATATTTATAGCAATGCTGAGTACTCAGTAAAGTTCAATGACTTGTAATGTTCAGCATATTTTACTGTTGGTTTTCATTTAGTATACAAAGTGAATTTATTTATATGCTGAATTCCAAATTTGGGACAGACTTGTTTGCTTTTAGTATGAGCACAAGTACTGTGCTCTCCATGCATGTTACAAAATGAAACAGGGTAAAGAATTAGAAATATTACAGTCCCAAGTGTGTAGATGTACACACTTCTCTGTGTGTGGTCTGTGCATTTCTGAAATTGGGTACCAGTATTTTCCGGCAAGACCTTCTATAGAATGTTTAACCAGTCTTTACAGATTCTGACTCCTTAGAATGCTTAAATAAATCAAACCTGTTGTATTCAGTCCAGACAACAGCACAGTAATCCCATATTCTCCGTTGTTGTCAGACACCAAGTATTTGTCGAAATGCTGCTTTTTAATCAAGTGAATTTAAAAGCATTAGCTAAAATGTCATTGATGTGGTTAACAGCGTGTGCGCAAAAGCATTAAAGTGTTGTGAATGAATCCTAAGAAGCCCAGCAAAGGCAAGTGTTCCTACTGCAAGGGACAGCACTCAGAGCAGATTGCTGTTCCATGTTCCTGCCTGTCATTTGTGTGTTTTCTGTTCAAATTGATCTTTAAGACTGTAGGCTATTCATCTTTAATTTCTGTCAGCTTACTGTTCGGAAGTGAACTGCCATGCTATAAAGTAACAAAGTACTACATTTTCTTCACAGAATAAAAGATATCTATAGTTTTGAACGAGAAGGACAACATGTTATTGTTACTGCATCCAGTGATGGTTACATTAAAATGTGGAATCTGGATCTCACTAAGGTTGGTCTATTAAACTACTTGTTGCATTTATGTAAAAATATCAGACAACCAGAAGATATCTGTGCACATATTTTTATGCACCTGTATTTTTTTTTTTTAATCTTTGTAATTTTTTTAAAACAAACTGTAAAATCTGGTGATCCTATGGAGGTCTCATCTCCTCTTTATGTAAAGTCATGCTTCCCTTCAGACCTACCTGGCGAGACTTAGGACCGTCTGATCAGCCATATATGTTCTAAGGACTGCTGTGGATTTTTTAACGTTGATGACACTTGCTACTCTTTTAAAAACACAAAGTCTGTGGTTTATGGTGGGGAATGGTGGTTGTTCATGTGGGGAGAAAAAAGGTGTTCTTTTGACAAATTCAAACGCATTACTGTACGGGATACTTTTATTTCCTGTGTTTTCAAACAATTCTGAGTAGCACAGCTGAACATGGAATCACTTCAAATACTTCAGTAAATTTAAACAGGAATAAAATAATGTTTAATTAATCTTTTTCTGTATTATCTTCAGATTAAAGATGAGCCGTATTTATTGTGTGAAGTTAATACCAAAGCTAGGCTGACATGTCTTGCAGTATGGCTTGACCGAGCTTCAGAAATGAAAGAAAACTCTGATAAAGCTGCAAATTCATCATCTCAAGGTAACACAACCGTGTGTTTCTTCCGGTTGCTAGTGTGGTTGTGAAGTGGAATATACTAAGTGGGAGGTTTTTACTATATGCATTGGAAAAAGTTGTAGTATCTTGAAGAACTGGGGCTATGACGCTGGCAAGTTATACAGATGTTCTTACCAACCTGATAGTGTCTCAAGCCTGCGTGTAGGCTGGAGGACATAAACCTCTCTTCATTTTTATTGTATCAACTTTTTTTTTTCTCTTTACTGGAATGACATACTGAGGAGGACACTGAAGCTTTTGAGACAGATAAGAAAAGAATAAACAGTTGGATAGAACTGCAACTCTTGTTTTCCTATTAAAAAAATAGGTCTGAGGCTAGTGTTGTTGTACAAACATGGGAAGTCTGGCTCAGGTTTGGTTTTTTTTGCTATTGTTTTCCTGTATTGTAGTCTATTTACATACTTTAGATATTTTTCAATCCCAGGCAAAAGTAGCATAAACGGCACATTCCACTGTTAATAAAAAAATCACGTATAACCCCCTTTTTAAAATGAGTTACAAGTAAGTGTCCGTTCTATTGTGGACCACAAAGACTGGACATAAATACAAGTGTGAATGATTCCTTGTTTTTTTTTTCAGCACATAAAGATGAAAAATCATCAATAGTCAGGAAAAACGAAGTGTCTTGTACCGATAAAAGTGATAAAAAAGCAAAAAGAAAGAGGAAAATTACTCCAGGGAAGCAAAAATTGGAAGCTCCGCTGCAAAAGAAGAAAAAGAAACGGAATAGCTCAGCATGAAGGCAGCTACTTTCTCTCCTGAATAAAAAGTAAATGCTGGTGTTGCTGTAGATTTTATAAGGATGTAAACCTCTGACAGGACATACACTTCTGAAATGATTTGTTGTTTAAAAGTAATGAATGTTTTAACCCAAATAAATTCATAATATATAATGTTTATATTTTTCTATTAACAACAGCATACGCTTTTCAGCTGGGTCTGAAAAAGACAGCTAAAATGATAAAAATAGCTGCATCTCTCTCAGTTACATTTTTGTCTCACTGAAATGCATATTAAAAATGTGTACACTTTTTCATTTTATGTTGGCAAAATTACAGTTCATTTGACTCAAAATACAGTATTTGTCATGCGTTACTTTTCCTGCTGTAAGAAGGAGCATGTTAAAATTACTTAAAATATGATGATCACTTTCCATTCATACATTCACAGAAAATCATAATTCTTGTCATGGACTTATACGTGGAGTTTATAAGCAAAATGTATGGGTTTTTTATTGTGTTCCTACTTCATGCATTTAATTTTTTTAAAAGTCTTTGCACCCATGGTTCACATGATTGAAATCTTTTTTTCAGAATATGATACATATTTTTAGGTGGAAGAGTTTATATCAAGAAGGTTTTACCTACTCTTTCTACTTCCCATAGTATGTTTTCAAGTCCTTGATTTGAGCTGTACTGTAAAAAAAAAAGAAACAAAAAACCAACTTAACATTTGAAACGTTTGTCCTGCTGACAGAATGTTACCCATCTGTTTTGCACTTAAACCGAAAGTGAATTCCTGACCTTCTCAGCCAGCGGGAACAGGATTTTATCCTAAGTCTTACTACAAACATACAGTGGGGTAAAGAGAGTTAAGCTGGAGAGAGCAAGGTCAACTAGCTGCACTAAATGTTATCTTTATTTCTTTTAAAGTAAGGCATTTCAGTGTTGTTTTCTGCACTACCTGAGTACTCATTATTTCTTCTGTTCAAAGAGTAATTGGAATTATGCTTTATTCTGATTTGCTTTAGTAATAACTTGTTCCTCCTCATTTGTGTAGCAAGAGAAGAGGTAAAGAAAATCAGAAAAAAGATTGAGCCAAACCCAGAGACCTGAATGCCACCTATCTTAGGGATATCAAATAGGATATAGCTCCAGCTCATCTCTGTGTGTGCTCTGACACTGAAACAAAGCGAGCATCATCGTTGCTGTTATGAGATGATTCACGTGGCGATGGCAGTGTTCTCTTGGACGTGGGTGTCTACACAACTCCTTGTCTGAATATTCAGTATAGTTGATTTATACGAGCTCAGTTTAATTCCATGTTAAAAGGTTTTCAACAGTAGTTTGAACTTACTCAGCTTTTAACTTTAATATTACCCTGAATGCTTGTGCACACAAACATAGGCAAATAATATAGGACTTAAATCCATTTGTAGACTGGGCAGGGAAGGTAGTGAATCAGATTTTTAATTGATAACAAGGCTCCTGTTGTAAATATAGGACATATTCTCTTATTTAAGCTTAGGCATTGTGAAGTAAGCTTAAAAAGTGTAATGTCTGTTTTATAGTGCTTATCTTACGTCTGTTCTTGACAAAATGGCTGCCACTACTGAAAGGGTTTTCGGTGTTTGAAGTTTTGAATACATCACAACTATGGAAGCAAGCTCTCTTCCTTTTCAGAACATTTTCCATTCTAGTTTTCAGGGGACTGCTTAGAATGGGAGAGGGGAGGCAGGAGTTGCAGAGAGAGGAGAGATGGCAGCGTGAGAAGGTTCTTCCTGTGTCAGAAAGGGTGAGTGTGCATGAAGGGGGTCGAGGAGACGGAGCCATGGCTGCAGGAAACGACAGCCTAGCGAGCAGCATCTCGGCTCAGACCCCAGGTGCGTTCAGCAGCTCTGGCAGCTGTGGACCTCTCCCCGTTTCCTCATTCCCCTCTATGGGAAGGCAAGTGCTGGATTACAAAACAGGGCCTGCTGAAACTAGAACCTCCTCACCATTACGCTGCCAGCCAGAAAAGGCAATGCCGTCCAGCACAGCTTAGATCTGTTGGTGTGGCACTTCGCAGGGAGATGGACGTTTAAACCACTTAGACCAACAAGGGAGTTAAACTGCTCTCTGGTTTTTTACCATTAGGCTAATTCATAAAGATGGGAAAATTGGAGATACAGCTAGAGAAAGCTGCATTTCACAAGAAAGCACAAGGCCCCCCTGTTCTGTGCCTTGTGTTACAGAAAGGTGCTGAAGCCCTGCAGAAGGCGCGGGGACCTTGCTGGGGGAAGGGGCATTTCTTAATTTGTTGTTGAATGGCCACGGGAGGTACGTGCATAGCCAGCTGGAATAAATCGCGCAGCACCACTGAAAAAAGTACTTGAAAGAGTTTATCTTTGTAGGCAGTTCTATCTCTCTACATTTTTCCATATCAAAAAAAAGCGCAAAACATTTTCTATACAAGATGTTTTCCATCTCCCACTGTTGCCCGGGGGAGTTTCCCGCAGCTCTGCGGGGAGGTGGGAAGGCACAAACCCTTTCTCCTCCGCAGCCCCGCTCTACGGGACTCATCCTCCCCTGCCTGTGGGGGTTTTTTGTTTGCTTGTTTGAGCTTTTTGGGGGCCTGCCCCCGCCCCTTCCCTCAGAACAGCCGGAAGGGGGAAGCTTTGGGCGGC